CGATAAATGTCTCACGCCGCGACTTCAAAAATACCCTAACAAAAAAAATACAGAAAAAAATCTAAATTACCCGCATCTGATGCCCGTGTAAATTTAAAAATTGGAACCATCATCGAAATGCTTTTCCTGAACGTTAATATGACAGTAGAGGCTCTATTTCTCCTTTATTGGCAAGAGAAATTTGGTGCGTTTTTCTCTTATAATCTTCACTTGGCAATCCGTGTTCCACACGTGTGACGTAAAATCACGTGACTAACCTGAAATCCGAATGTTTTCAAAATGGCGGCAAAAATCGAGTTTTCGAAAAATTATAAAAAAATAAGTTTCGCAGATATATCCGAAATTTCACCAAAGACAGACATTACATGCCATTAGGAAACCATAGAGAACTTAAAAAACAGGGGTGATTTTCCCGAGAGTTGCCCTTTAATTTTCGAACCAGATAACTTAAACAATATCACATTCTTTTTTACATTTTTCAAAGGCTATAAATATAATTAGTTATCTGTAATAACACCAAAGACTATTTCTCATGGGAGCCCGAGAAAATAAATGTCAAATTTCACAAAAGTTGTGAACACACAGGTAAAATTCTTAAAAATTTCATTTGTAAGGTGCAAGAGCTCTAATGGCTCTTGGTAAGGTGCCACTTTGTGAAATTTGACATTTATTTTCTCGGGCTCTCATGAGAAATTTTCTTTGGTGTTATTACACATAACTAATTACATCTACAGCCCTTGAAAAATGTAAAAAAGAATCCGATATTATTTAAATTATTCTGGTACAAGGGTTTTGTCCACTGAAAATGAAAATTACTCAGTTTCCTGATGAATTCTGTCTAAAATGTTTGGTGTATTACAGGAGCTCTTGGTGTATTTCCATTACAAAAGAATAATTATCGTCGAACCCGGCCTACCTGTTGCTTACCGCTTGCACCTCGTTATTGCGGACAGTTTTATTTGTTACTGCCGGGAAAGCCCTTACATTTTTTCGAAATAGCGACACTTGTTTCTTGCCCAATCAACATATTCTCACAGAAAGACAACCTCTCTTATACGGACACTTCATTTTCAACTATGTGCTGTAATAGACTTTTCCTTTTTGAAAATGAAAATTAAACCTTTAGTTGACTGCACGTGTCGGTCTTCCCAGCGCTATACAGTACACCAGATAGGATGATTCGTGCACGTCAACTTCTAGTAGTTTTGGCATCAAACTAGTTAATTATGCAGAGGACGGTTTCGATTTTAAACATTGATATATCGTGATAATGATATGATATATGATGAGCCATTTTCTTTTTAGTGTTTCAGTGGATTTAGTCCATGGAAAATCTCTCCTTACAGCACCCAACGACGGTTTCCTCCTTAATACACTGAAAACACATTTTAGGCCATCCAGAGTACTTTTAGATCGCTAGAAATGTATTCTAATTCGAGCAATACAATTTGTATCTGTTCGGTCATGTTAGGGCAACGTGCGTCTTTTCGAAATTACAAGGGCTTCAGTTTTATTTTACCGAAAATTTTAGATGTAATTTAACCTATTACGAAAGTGACAATTTTATTAATTTCTCTCTTCATCACATTTTTGAATCCGAAAGTTTCAGGTTTCCTTCCTTTCTACGAAAAATAGCCTAACCTGAGGAGTGAAATGTGAAAATCGTAGGGGATTTATTACTGAGATAAGCTTCGAAAATTGTACATAAATAAGGAACAATCACCTAAATTTGTTTAGCCGTCCTAAAGTAATAGAAAATTCTAGGCCATATTTGCTTCTTCGATTAACAGATATTTTACAGAAAACAGTCGTCAGGTGGCCCTGTATGGTACCTCGCTAGCAGAGCTACAATACTCGTCACATCTGTTGAAACACCTGCTGTCCGATCAGCCTTGCCTTCAAGTTTAAGTGTTATCCTATATCGTTCATCCCGATCCATACCAAGATCCGACGTTCCTTCGTTGTTGTTTTTCCAAGTCAGGTCACAAGTCAGTCCTTGCAACTGTTCGCTAATAAACTCATGGGCTACTTTAGTCATTAGAAAGATTATTCCAAATTTTTCTCGGTCGTGCGTAAAGAGGACAATTTTCATGAAAGGATATGCAGAACAGAACACACGATCTTGGGGCCCGACCATGTATACAAGAATGAGGAGCTTGAAAAAAGTGTAAACCAAATGTTAAGCATAGTTAATTGAGTGGAATGGTTATGAAACCCGTCAGACTCCTTTGTTATATGTTTTTGTGGACCTGAAAGTGCACAACGTTCAAAAGAATTCCTATCATTTTGATTGTATTGACCAATAAAAACGTTGCATTAATTTATTCCGTAACAATTTGCCAACAGAAAACAAAGGATTGTGCACTTTCAGGGTGCTTCCAACATAAACTGCAGCACTGTTGTTTTTATCATTGATGTTTGCTTTTCATAACCAGTCAAAGAAAATTTCTTACGAGAGCCTGAGAAAATAGAAGTCAGATTTCACAAAATTGCATCTTTC